CTACTACTACTACTACTACTACTACTACTACTACTACTACTACTACTACTTATACTTACTACCTACTACCTACTACCTACTACCTACTACCTACCACCTACTACCTACTACCTACTACCTACTACCCACTACGAACTACGAACTACTAACTACTAACTACTAACTACTAACAACAACAACTACTACTACCACCATGATTGCCGCCATCGTCACATATGAAGACCGCCGCTTGTAAATCATACGATTTGCTGTTGGGATCATCATTTTGCTACCAGGTTTTTTTTCTAGCTCATTTGTTGAAAGGGGAAGGTGAAAAAGATCTATGTCAAGAAACAGGAAACTGGAAACACCAGACCTGGTGGCGAAGACAAGATACGAACGGAGGGACCAGGTCATGTGTTACATGGTTCTAAAGGACGTCACTCATGACTTTCAAAGACCTTGGATCTCTATACTCTATACATCCCGAGAATTCGCTTTTCGGTAGATCACCGATTCTACGATTCTATGTGATTCTGAGTCTTAGTAACGTATTGTTTGCGTGTCCAGTTGATTTTTTCGTTGGGATGTTCGACTGATACGAACCGTCAGCAAGATTCACTCCCATATAAACCATACCAGGACCTTCCGCTTGAGGTGTAAATAGCCTCTTAGAGGTGAGTCGAGGTGTCCAAAATATAAACCATGTCCGGGCTCCAACAGCCCCCCGTCGAGGCACTACGGGGGCCACGCCGAGCGTTTACCCGACGGCTCCGCCGATGGGTCCAGCGCCGGCGGAGACGAGGCCGCCAGCGAAGCGTTGCCGCAACGGTCGGTGAAGGCGGAGTGGCTGGTGGAACGGCTGCATCTCGGAGTGATGGAGGGAGCATCCGGGAACCAGGACTTCTCTGGCATTTTGGACACCCCGAAGGATGGTCCTAGGTGTGGTGGATGTTTGAAGGAGTTGGATCACTGGCCTGTTGAGCGGATGAAAGGGAGAGACGGGACTTGCGCCGAGTGCTATCTCGATGATTCTCGATGATCGTTTCCAATCTTGGATCGAACGATATGTTTTTGGTGAAAGTAAGATATCACATTGTGCCATCCTCTACTAGCACTTGTGTTAAGTCGTCTGGTCTTGTAGAAAGTCGTCTGGATGCTGCGTTTCCATTGGGGTTACATGCAACATGGCAATATAACTGGAAGAGCATTAGGTCAACAACATTGTT